TGTAGGCGCCACGACCGCATCTGCCATGCAGCGGCTGTGAGGGCGGCAACTTTACCAGAAGGTCACCCTGTTCGCGTGTTGATACGGAAATACAGCAAGACCCCCGCTAAGACTCATCTCCCCCCTCTTCAGAAGCTGATAGAGTATTTTAGGATAAAGCCCAGGCGCATGGAAACAATTACGCCGGTTCCCTGTCCACCAACGTATCGGACAGCTTTCTCGACGGCCATTGCTAGTTCGAAGGAGGAGTCGATTAAGGATGAGGAGAAAGACGACTCGGACATCAGGATCTACACTGATGGGTCAGGTTTCGAAGGAAATGCCGGGGCAGCAGCAGTGTTGTACAGGAAGGGATCAGATGAGCCGGAAAAGGTCCTGCGTCTACATTTGGGGACACTGAAGAAGCACACAACGTTCGAAGGCGAGGCGGTGGGCTCGATACTCGCCGCTTGGATGCTGCAAGGCCGTCCAGAGGTGGGAGAGGGAGCGATTACCTGTTACACTGACAACCAGGCGTTCATTAGAGCAACGGGCACCAGGAGGTCGGGGCCAGGACAATACCTCGTGTTGGAGTATCTGCGGCTAACGGAGGTAATGGGCAATGGAACTGACAATCCTAGGCCTGCGGGTTCATTCAAATTCGTGCTCAAATGGATCGCTGCACATAAGGATGTCAAGGGGAATGAGAGAGCGGACGAGGAGGCTAAGAAGGCAGCACAGGGGGAGTCTAGCCCACCAGAGGAACTGCCACCTATCCTGCGGAAATGGCTACCTTACAGCGCGGCGGCAATCAAGCAAGATTACAGGGAGGGGTTGAAGTCCAGATGGCTCGAGGATTGGGGGATGTCGCCACGATACGCGAAGTTTCAACACGTGGATCCAGACTTCCCATTCAACAAGTACCGGACAATCAGCGATGAGATAACTCAAGCGTCCTGTGAGTATGGAGAAAGGAGGGAGTATTTAAATACAGCAAATATTTAAATACAAGAAATCCGTGAACACGGATAACTTGTTTGTGCCTAGGGCTTGCCCGGCTCGCGTAAATCAGATCTTAAATAATAAATAGAATGGTGAGATCTGAGGAGACAGGCAAGACCTGAGCGTCTGAAAGCTTGATTGTGTGCCAACCAACCAGCTATACCAACCAGAGTGTAAGCTCACAACGAGCAGGTTGGTTCAGCACCGAGGAACTACCCAATCAAGCGTCACTCTGGAAAGAATTTTGAGATTAAAAATACAAATACAGTTACAAAAATAGGGACAATGTAGAGTACAGATGAGGATGAGGAGGTTCACATTCATCAGCAAAACCTGGGTGAGCTAGGCAGCACGTGGCAGGGCTGTGCAGTGCCATAGCACCATAGAAAGGGGTATCACCTTTACAGCTCAGGGCAGTTCCTACGTAGCGCTGCATAGGAACACATTTCTGCTATGTCGTGCTATGGAGACCTATGTAGAAAACATAGAGCAGTGCATAGTTCTCCATATGGGCTCCCTAGTATTTTATAGTAAGGCTGGTAATCTATGCAGCTCTGCCAAGCTTGAAGGAGAGTCTAGGAAGAAAAGAAGTCCTCTCTCTAGCTCAGTCAAGCTGGCTTTCGTATCTATACAGGTCTATTGGAATGGGCTATATTTTTCTATTTGGGTATAAATTGACGAAATATTGTGGGGATAGCAGTCCATTTATAGGCAAATTGATCTGTAATGTAATTATCTATTTCGCATGGGTACTGATAAATCCTCTCCTCTAAAACAGAATCAGCCTACTAGATAATGAAATGTATATGGTGATGGCCAGGAACCAGTGACGAGGACAGCCAGCATTTAGCCACTTTTAATCAAGGGCAATGGTGATGTCAGTATTGATCATAGGCTCTGCCGCCGCTTGTAACCTCCTAGGATGTTCGAAAGGTTAAGCAATGACCAAAGCACTAGACAAACGAAAGAAAGAGACTAACATCCCATCTTGGGCCCATCGTTGTCGGTTACTAAGCAATTTCTGGGCATGATATGGGTTGGCTTTGATGTCCTCCATGTGTCTGAGTAACGCGTTGACAGTAGGTTGATACGCGGTACCAGAAAATTGGATCTTGGCCCTCTCTCCAGAGCAAAACCGTTGGAATTCATGAATACAATTCGTGATCTGTAGAAGAGCAATGAGCATGGTATGATCTGAGGTAAAAAAATCTTACGCAGGTCATGACAAGCACCATACAGAGTTCTGGGACGCTGTCTTTGAAATTATCAGGGAAATGGTGAGCCAGACAGTCGTTCCCAGTATAGAAGAACTCAATGCATAGAGCACGAATGCAAGGATGTGAGAAATTGTTTGTTTTCCCCTATTCAAGCAAAATGAGTGATAAATGATGGAGAGACGACGCTGAACATACATTGGCATCCTTGCCACCTTTTAGGTACTCTGAATCTCTGATAGATAAAAGTCTATTGGCATTGGCCACAATATCGCTTTCAAGCTGTCCTTGATTCTCAACCAAGGGATCCAGATCCTTAGAATAGAATCGAAGAACACTGGTACGACCCATAGTCTTCAACCTTCCACGAAAGGTGCTGCCCTCTTCAAAAACCTATTGTGGGTCAGGAAATAATCCCCCCCCCAAAAAAAACAAGAGCTTACGACGCTAGCCATGTCATCGCTAAAACTGAAGCCTGTAAAGTATATTTCAGAACACAAATGAGAAGATTAAGAAGGGATATTAAGGCGTACCAGATTCAAAGAGAAGCCCCTCATTTTTTCCTTGAGCAATCTCCTCTGATAGAATGGCTTTTGCGACTTTAAAGTCTGCATCAATAGCTTTGGAGGGAAAGCTATGTATCAAAGCAACGTGCTTCTGGTATTTGATCTTAGCTCTTTTGATCACGACTTGCCATACCGAGGGGTAGAAGCTCAAAATAGTTGGGTCGTGGTTTCCTTTTGATTTTAACGAGTTACGAGGTGCTCTAGTAGCAACAGTCACAGGAACTTGAGGGTCTTCAGTGGTTTCAGGTACTTCAGTGATTTGAAGGGCATGGGAAACGTCAGAAACTGAGCTACCTGAGATAGCGTCAGAAATGTAAGTACCTTGAAAGGTTACTGGATCTCCAGCACTTTGAATGGTTTCAGGCTCTTCAGTATGGCATGCCACCTGGGGATCCTGGCGCTCGATGCGCTTGCCACGCTCGCTATGGTTATTATAAATACCTTGGACCTGGCGGTGGTGATTTGCAGCTGCCACCAAATGGCTGCGTTTTGGAGGGCGGTTAGAACGGTTTTTCTTGTGATGCGCCGTCAAAACGTCTTGTATGAGAGGTACTTTGTGACTATCTTGATCCTCCTAAATAACATATATTGTCAGCTATCAGAATGGAAAAAAGAGACGAATACATTATCTACCAGACCATGAGGCTCTTCCCCCTCTATGTTAAAGGTAGGCTGATGGTTGCCTTCAAACGAGATGTCTTTGTTCTTATCATATGGGGTACAAGAACGAGGTGCGTGCAAGACAGCATCTGCCTGGCGTTCATCTTCTGAAGGTGACTGTTCATCAATTTCATGAGCTAAATGCGTAAGATCAGTTGCTGAACAAAAGAAATATGAAAAAAAGGGCTGAAAACATTCACCTTCTAATGATTGTTGCTGGTCGACATGATCAACATCAGCGTCTTCTTGCTGGTCGACATAATTGACATCAGCGTCTTCTTGCTCATCTTCTTGCTGAAATTCGTCGTCGACATGATCAACATCAGCGTCTTCTTGCTGGTCGACATAATTGACATCAGCGTCTTCTTGCTGAAATTTGTCGTCGACATGATCAACATCAGTGTCTTCTTGCTCATCTTCTTGCTGAAATTCGTCATCGTAGTGATCATGCTGACCACCATAGGTGTTATCCTGAAAGTCATCAGCAGCCATACGTGGAAGTGTTATACTTTCTGTTGTAGGGCGCAGATTATTGTCGTCGATGTTGTTGTCTTCATCCTCCTCCTCATCTTCATCATCCTCCTCATTGCCATCCTTGTCATAGCAATCATCAGTACCGTCGTCACTACTATTATCCTCACTGCTAATGTTTTCGTTGCTGTCCTTGTAGCTGGTGTTCTTTTCAAAGGCGTTGTCCACATCCATATCCTGTTCATCGTTGGTTTTGTTGCTGTTTACCATGATATTGTCGTGTATCTGTGCTGTCTGGTAGGTAGGGTTCTTAGTACGCTGAAGAGCTATCTGAGGGCCTTGGCGTTTTGCGAGAGCGTCCATGGAAGACCTATTAAGTTGTTATTATGTTGAAAAGAAAGCAAGATGGATGATATTACTGATTTGCTCGAACCTGAGGTTGACGCCCTGGAAAACTTTGAGGAAGACCTTGTGGTGCGTATATACCTCCTGGCTGAAAAGGAGGTGAACTGGTAGGATATTGAGGTCCTTGGAAAGTACAGACCAGACGATCTTGAGGTTCCAGCACCTTTCTGGGACCTTGAGCAACTAACCAATCAGGTAAATGACTTCGAGGTAGGGGTGCTGCTGGTTTCAAAGGAGGATCAATAGCACAAGGGACCGGTGCATCAACTTGTCCCTAGAGACACCAGAGCATATCAGTTACTTGCCAAAGTAAAAATGAAAGACGCTAACCGCTTTTCTACGTTTTGCCTTTGGCAAAGGCGCCATATGATTTTCAGCCATGTTGTGGGGAGCATTGTCAAGCTCGTCTCTGGAATGCTTTTTGGTTTCAGTTTTTTGCAGAGATCTTTCTAAGCCAGCGCCGACGATGTTTGCTGCCATAGTCAGTTGGTGTATAGCACCGCCCTTTCCAGCAGTTGAACGGACAGGGCGACCATTAGCTAGGTGGGACTAAGGATGAAAGAGTAAAAGATAATATAATGCAAGAAACAGCACCTTGGGTTTGGGGGACAGCATCGACATTTGAGTTCGCTGGATAGATAGGATTAACCAGTTTTAAACAAAAGTATTAAGCACTTACCAACAGTTGAAGATGCGAGAGCCTTGGCTTTGCTTCCTCGACTGGTCTTTAGGTTGACCAAAGTCGCCTTACTTTTCTTGCCAGCGAGGCTTTGGTTTTCACTGTTTTCGGAATTCTGGGAGGCATTATTTTTCTTATTGTTGGCCATGACGATAAGCTGCTAAGTTGGGTGGGCTGAGGGGATATGAAGGGAAAAGCTGGACAAAAAGCTGACGGAAAGGCAGACAGTGATGGGTAAAAGTCAACCAAGTTTTGATCCTTTTGGGAGGAGATATACAGGTCAACGGGAAGCCCTCCCGCAAGTCCATTTTGGGTCAAATGTTGCGGAGGTGTTCCGTGTTGGTCCTCAGATACCAAGTGGTCGTGCAGGCACAAATTGAAGATAGCGCGAGTAGAGGAGAGGTGTCTATTGAAAATACAGTTACTGAAAAATTGCTCAGGCCACAAGAAGAGATCAGTGCTATGAAAAAGCACCAGCACCGACTGACAGAGCTAATAATATAGATGATTGGCTAATCCAAGGTAATAGAGAGTGCGCCTCCATGTGGAAGGGTTATGATTCTGTGGGCTGAATTTTCTTTAATTCCTTTTATGTGTAATTGAAATCATAATACTTACATCCCTTGACTTGCACAATTAGATTGTCCCTTGCCGCCTGGAAATCTGAGGATGGGAGGATAAATCCACTTTTCCTAACCCAGTAGCGCACTTCACCACAGTACAGTTCTGCGTTAAGGACATCCTGGTGGGCAATAAGAATCTTTTGTTGAAGCCTTTGAAGTTCGACAAGGAGACATGCTTGGATGTCACGGCGTAATGATTCTTGTTCAGAGGCGTCCTGTAGGAGAGAGCTCGCCTCTCCAGCTGATTCTATCTTCCTTGCAAACTGTTGTGGAAATCTAAAGTGAGTGGGTAGGGTTTCCAAAAATATCGGCCACTGACTCCTGGGTTCTGACGCTCTGTACACCTAGCAGTGGCCAGGACGTATGCCTTCGCAATTGGTGGTACTGTGTGAAGGCTAGATTGGGGCTACAGCCAGATACCAGTGAAGGATTTAGCTTACCAAGGGACATTACAGAGTAGAAAGGAGAAACAGGAAAAGCGGTGGTGATAGTGTGGTGATAGTGTGGGTCAAGAACGGCGCTGAGTTGAGGCGAGATGTAGCTTCTTGGAAATCACATGATGCTGTGAATCAACCTTGGGACGAAAAATGACAGACAAACATCTAGTTTGTTTCTAAAAGCATAGGTAAAGTAGGTACATTGGTCCCATTGAAGCTTTCATGATTGCCCCAGCCATTCCTATCATCCACATATGACTTGAATGTTCGATCGCTATGGTAAACTAAAGACGCCCGTAAACCTTTGAAGTGAAGATTATAGTGAGTGATCTCAGACGAAGAAAAAACCACCATGTCTCCACTCTGGCATTCCACAACGATCCCAAGTTCATGGAGAACCAGTGCCCCCCCTTGACAGGCACTGATGGGCATGACAAGGCAAACATTCAGGTCCTTCCAGTCTCGGTGAACAAGAGTCGATACGTTGAAGTTGAGAACAACACCACCAAAGGGGTATGTTGGGCTCATGTCATTGGAAGGGAGAAGGTCGACAGAGATCCTAAGGGCTTCATACTCCTCAGGTAAGTACTTTTCTACCTAAGTGAGAGTTATCGTTAGCATTGAGAGAAAATGATGGTTGTAATCCACATACCACAGAACGCTGATATTGCCAAATTTCCTGGAATGCTTCTTCAAGTTCATGATATTTCTGCATATTTTCATGAGCTTCTTTTGAGAGCCTTGGCAAAAACTGGGCAGTATTCAGGCGACTTCCTTGACCGTTATAGAGCTCATCGGGGTGGACATCTTTTGGCGCCCCATCTCCCTGAGAGACCATTCAATAAATAACTTAGAAGATTGATGGAATATGCGCCCACTCACCCTAGTAGCATACCGATTGTACCATACAAAATGAATTGAGGGAAATGTATTGCCAATCCCCTCCTCTTCAGTGTCAGTGTGTTTCAGACCATCCGGAAATAGAGCCATGAACTTGTCGAGTAGTTGATCACGTAGACGTTGATCCAGAGTGCTATCAATAAAGGCAAGGTTTCTTCCATCCTTGCAGTTGATTCGGACTCTCTGACTAAGAAGAAATAAGCACCCCTTCGAATACAGAACAAATGTTAAATACTTACGGTTCGTGACCGCTAGTGGCATATTTCGTATACTTTGATCTGGCGTTTCTGACGCCTGACTGTAGGACCTGTTTTACCTGAAAAAAAGGAAGATGAACCCAAATCAAGGAAGAAAAGAATTCCCTTACCTGCTTCTGAAATGACGCCATATCCTTTGGAATAATGGCACTTATGGCCTTCTTCCTGTCTTGCTCCGTCCAAATAAATCCTGCCTTCCGAGCCTGAGACTTGTCAGTGTAATGTCGTTTTAAAGGAAACTTTTTATTGTCTTGGTGGGAACGATTGTAATTAGTGTTAATGATCACCAAGGGAAACTCCTTTTCTGAGGAGGGAACTGCACTGTCGGCACCGTCGTCATCACTGACATCTTCTATGTCTGTACAAGGAGAGGGGGGCCTGCGTCAG